TCGGAGCCCAGAACAGGCTAACAACACAACAGCCGGGCCGGGACCGCTGATCTGAGGGATCTGATTTCTCCCATTATGCTTCGGATTCCTACCGAAAACTAGCACTAACAACTGTTAGCTCCTGTTCCAGTTAGCATTTGTTATCGCGAAGTTGTGATCAGGCACAAGGGATTCCCACTTAGTCTAGTGGCCAATTTTAGAATGGGCCTTATTTTAAGAATTAGCGGCACCCCCTAGCCTATCCTTACGGACATCTCTCTATTAGGGGCAGTTCGTTTGGTCCCAGAAATGCCAAATATCATACATTCCCAACCTCTATAGTACGGACACCTCTGTAATGCGGACACTTGGTTCTGTCCCTTTGGTGTCCGTATTAAAAAGGTTTAACTGTATTTTTTTCTTACACTCGGTAAAGTTGTTCCAAAATCTCTGCTCGAGTCTTTATGAACTGCTCCTTCTTCAGCCCCCAGGCTTCTTTTTGCTGTGAAAAATGCAGAGGCATGTGGAAAGGAAATTTAAAACAAAGAAATAAACTCCTATACATTGCCAGTAGAAAAATGTTCGTTAAGGTGTTTCGATGTTTCGATAGTTTTTCAGAGGCCATACAGATATTTTTCAATCGTTTTAAAAGTGATTTCATCCTTGTCTGATCGCTATAAAATTTTCACCAATGACTGACTATAGATTGTAATTTGTCCATATATAGGTTTTAGTAAAATCGATATTACTATCACAACAATAAACAAAGAACTTTGAAATTGATAAACGCCTAATTTTGCGCGATCTAGACCATGGCCAGCTACTGAAAATCCAACACTAGGAACTTAAAGTTTGGTGTTCAGCAAATAACCTCCGTAAGAAGTAAAAGAATTCTGTATAAGTTGAATTCGACGGAAACGGAAATATATTTCAAACCTTAAATTTTCAATAGCCGTGATAGATTATTTAATAAAAAGGCATCCAGGCACTGGATTCCAGTCTTTGTCATTTGGACTTGCCGTTTCTGGATTCCAGTCGTTAGTGGGATTCCGGATTCATTGAGCTGTTTTCCGGATTCCAAAGCCCAGGATTCTAGATTCCACAAGCAAAATTTTCTCGGATTCTGGATTCCACAAGCAGCAAAAATTTCCCAGATTCTGGAATCCTGAATCCGGATTCTCTTTCATTAGGCGAAATAATGCGGAAATAGCCCACCTTCATCATCCGTTCCTCCATTTCTTTCATGGACAGAAGCACTCTCTCGTTCACATTCGTCTCCATCTTCATTCTCTGCACATTTTCTTGAATTTCCTTAACGCGACGGAAATGCACGTACTTTTTTACCATTTCAATGAAACGCTTGCGAGGAAAGTCCATGGCTTCTTTTATAAGTTTCGTCGTGGACTGAAGTGACAACGAAAACAAATCATGTAACAGACTTTGAGGGTGTTTTCTTTGAAGCTATGTTGAGGCTCCAGTAGCCTGCAAGCAAGCTCTTCATTTGGGGAAGTCGCGAGAAGTTTTGTGACAGCAGCATACGTTCTCTCGTAGCTCGTGTCGCTTGCCGTAAATGGAGAGCGTGCTCACAGACTTACCCTGGCTCCAAAGGTCTGTTCTCAATATGCCTAATATGAAATCCAGGGGCACCCAACGACGGTTTCCACCTAAATACAATGAAAACACTTTTTAGGCTATCCAGAGTACTTTTAGATGTCTAGAAATGCATTAAAGGCGGGCCTATAAAATTTGTTTCTGTTCGGTCATCCTAGGGGAACTTGAGTCCTGTCCTGAAATTACTAGAGCTTGAGTATTATTTTCCCGAAAATTTTAGATGCAATATGACGTATTACGAAAGTGAGTCATTTTCTGATTCTTCTTTCCATCACATGTTTGAATCCGAAAATTTCAGGATTCCTTTTTTCTACGTAAAGTAGCCTAACTTGGGAAGTAAAATGCGTAATTTAAACTTCAGAAAATCGTAGGGAATTTATTACATAAGCCTCGAAAATTGCAAGTGAATGGAACGCTCATGTAGAAATTTTTAGCCATCCTCAAGTAATAGAAAATTTTCAGCAATATTTGCTTCTCTGAACAGACATTCTACAGAAAACAGTCTTTGGGTGCCCATGAAAATTAACCTTGCTTACGGTTTGATACCATCAGTATCCATAAGAAAAAATATCTTCTGGAACCCAGGGTATCACAGGCTAGGCCCCAGGGAATGATATAATAAGGGTTCATCAGAAGTTAGGAGTCCGGTATATTTCCAAAAGCATTGAATTGCTAACAATATGGACATTGCATGAATACAAGGTTATATTTTCATTTGTCAATAGAGAGCTTAAACGGCAGAAAGCAATAGGTTTAGATTAGCAAAACACCAACTTTGAACGTGCATCACGGTTCTTGTACATTTCCTTGCCGTCACTGCACGAATACGACGTGAAAATGCCTATTTTCACGTTTTGTGGAAGACGATAAAGTCTTTTAGAATTCAACTCCAGAACGAATTGCCAACACTGATTTGACGAATTAAATAAGATGGAATGAGTGCGATTAGAGTGGCTTTCGTTTGAGTGTCGTAAAACCAAAACCAAAGTAATTACTCTGGCCAATCACATAGGACACAGACAATACATTGAACCAATCAAAACTCGAAGTAATTACATGTGGCTGACGCAAAGCGCGGGAAAATGCATGCGAGCGCGTCACAATTGGCTTTGGTTTTACTTCTGATTGGATGAAAAGGTGGCGCGAATCTTTTAAGCCAATCGCATCGTGTAGAAAGTGCAAAACCAATTACTTTTCGACACTCAAATGAAAACCGCTCTAAGGTTGAAGCAGCGCGACTTCACTTTTTAATTGACGTTTTCCGTCGTAGCCGTCGCCGACGTTCTTGCTTAAGCTCCCTGTTGCTAACACCCCACAACGGGATACAAAAACTGGTATATGAACCTTATCCCGCTATTTAGAATACTTGAAAAATATGCACATTATGATTGGTCCTGTTGTTATAATGCACTGCTGCTCTACGTTACGCAGATAAAAAAGTTATAATGCACGCGGCATACGTTACCAGTACAAGCATAATCGATATTGAATAACGATTTGAGTTGAGGGTTAGTGTTCATTAGTAAAACATGAATCCTTCTAAGCTGGTCTTTCAGCAAGGCATTTTAATTTAAAAAACCTTAGTACCTCATAAAGTTCTTGAGATATTTCGTTTGCCTTCATTGCTTCCTCCAGTAGCTGTAGATTCCTTTGCTGATCCTTTCGGCGGATATATTTCTGTCCAATTCTGCGACTTTTCCAGATTGAAGCCAAATTCCTTATTATAGTTTTCTGCTCGCCGACCGTTCTCTTGACCTCGGCCTCCCTCCTTAGGACTCTTTTCATCTGTGCATCTTTTTTCTTAACAGATTCTTCCCCCGCTTTCTTGGCAGATTCGAGTTGTTTTTCGTGTGTGGCTATCTGCGATAGAAGCTCTCTAAATCTCTCCATAACATCCTGTCGTCTGCCTTCCTAGGATGTCATAATCAGAGGAAAAAAACAAAGGAAAGTTTTGAGTCAAACCTAACATCGTATGAAGTTCTAAGTTTAAGTCTGCGATTAAAATCCTAAAATAACGTTACTTTTCATCTACAACTAAGTTCGACAGAGTGATTCCAACTGCTGGGTTTGTCTACGAGATCGAGGAATGGGAAAAATCTTCTGTTGCACGTTCTTTTCGTTTTTTTTTTTTTTGCGTGCCTCATTTTTCCCTTTTCTTCTGTTTCAATGCCTTGCCTTGCAGGCTATAATTCCACTAAAAGCTACTGGGCAAATTTCTCTCATAATATTACTCTTTACATCTGTACCCTGCTGAAAGAGATTGCATATCATAATGTGCTGGAACGGAATCAAAAGCAAGTTGCCCGGCAGCACTATCTTTTATGCTGGTATTCCTGTGGTTAGCCTGCGTTGCAAGCGCTACCGCGCGAGTTTGTTCTTGAAAAAGGTCGCTTTTGTTACAACTTTTGCTACGAGTTCGCGCAGATACCCTTGCTATGCAGGCTACCCTTTCATAATTATTAACCTATAAAACACAATCTGTAGCTGTAATCTTTCTTATTTCTTAAATTTATTCTTTTATTACCTCTAACAGTCTCCAAACCAGAAATTCTAGTTGCTGTCCTTGGAACTCTTCACGCGTCCCTTTCATTTTTCCGGTCTGCATTAACCCATAATCCTTCATTTTTCTGCCCAGCGCAGGATCAGGTTGGTATTCCATTTTTCCAAGATTTGTGTCCTACAAAAGTATAATACCGTTTAACTCTGAAGGACACAACCGGCCTCAGTTCATTTGCCTGTAAAGGGACATCAACGCCGTTTGTAACCAGAGTGTCATTGGTTAAAAGAAACAATAATAAAGGATCCGGGACCAATACACATAAAAGGCAGGCAGAGATGTGAATGAGCCTTATACCTGTATTAAATTGGTGCCTAGTCCAGGTGCCAGTATAGGGTTTACGTAAGTCGGGGTAGAGGTGTTCTGGGCGTCTCAAAGTCTTCTGTGTGTTTTCGGCGACATTTCAGAAGCGCCGTAATCAGATAATTGCCCAAATCACAGATGTTTGCTGTTGTGGGTTCGACATTATTGGCTTACTTTCTGATCATGAATGAGAAACTTCATCGATAAAGCTTGGTTTAAACATCTCACGCCATCTTTCAACTAATCAGAAGCAATACCATACTTTTTTTTTAATTTTCTCGCACTTGTGTTACCCATCTTCTTTGTGATTGGTTCACTGGATTGACTGAATATGTGCCTGTGATTGGTCAAACAAATTTTTGAGTTGGTTTAGAACCACTCCAAAGAATATTGACTTTACCTTTAACTCCAAACGCTTGCTCATGAGGGCGCGGGAAAGATGTAACTCCACTGAAATCAGCATCTCATTGGATAAAATAGCCATGCGCGCCAGCATTTGTCGAGTATCACCGAAATTCTCGTCCAGCGGCAAGGGAGCGTGAGAACGAATAGCATGCGCTTCTTGACCAAGATCTACAATGATGACAAAGAAGTTATGTAACTTGTCTAAAGATTTCCCAGTAAGAGTTGATTTCCGTTGTCGTGTAATTTTCGGGTGAGAACGCTTAAAAATCATGCGTACATAAAATAGAGACAATGTACTGTATGAATGTTGAAGCGTAAACGTTTAATTTAAGTCAAGCGAGGTTCAACTTTTACGTTAACGCGGGACCTTTAAAACAGTGCCTCTTTTTATTTTCGCACTTAAAAGTTTTACGACAGTGAAAATCCAACCTCAAGAGTTAACGTAATCCGAAAATATTAGACTAAACTCATGAGACTAAATATTGTGACTTAAAAGTCACGTTAACGAGTTTTATAACGAAAACTTACGTTCTCTATCCAGAAGAGTGGCCACACAATCCTTAAATCTGTTCAGGGCACGAAGAAGGAGCAGCGCTTCTTTGTGTATGTTTTGGACATCTTTCTTGTGATCATGTTCATATCTTCTTATCTCCGCCTGATGTCTTTGGTTTTCTTTAGCCATGTGATCTTTCAGACTCTGAAGTTCAGATTCATATTGCTGTTTCACTTTCGCCATCATCTGTCTCGCAGTTTGCGGCTCGAGGCCCAATTGAAGTGAGGTTTTCCTGCGTTCGCGCCGCGGTGCCCCCGCCATGCTCGCCACGCTCATCGTCGCAGGGGTGGGGGGAAAGGACATCATTCGTTCCTCGAGACATTGGATTTCCTCCATGAATTGACCTAGTCTCTCCTCTTGATACTTAATCATTTCTTCGTTGCATTCGATCTCACCTGTCAACCTGTTAAGTTTAAGAAAATAATAAAAACAAGCGCTTTCTTCCCTCAAAACTCTTGTTTTTTACGCCTTAAATGAAATGTACATCTGCTATTACAACTTATTGATGTTAAATTGATCGAAACTTATTCCAATTTTATGTTCTCATTTTCTCTTTCAAATTATTAATTATTAATTATTAAAAGGAAGTCAAGTGAATGTACAAAAAATCGCATAAAAATCAGTCGATTTCTTCACTTTCAAAATGCGCGCAGCCATTTTGAATTTTTAATGACGTCATTTGCTTCCACAATGGTGGCAAGTAAATAACGTCATAAACTGTTTCCAAAGAGAAAATAAATGATCTTCTGTAACCTACTGGGAAAAAATTGGGCCTTGGACTTCATTGATAACAACGTAATGTCAGTTTGTTTAACGCATCTAGCCGGAGGAAAATTCGATCATGTGACGGATTATGTGACGGCCGGATATCGCCATTTTAGAAACGAGCATAGTACTGGACCGTGTAAACTTTCGCAAAGACTTCCGGGACTGTTACTACAAAGGTGGGAAAAATTGGCCAACAACTGACCTGCGCGTCCTCATTAATGATCCCAGAAGCAATTGCGGGACACAATTCGGCTCCAATTCCCCTCCTGCCTCGTCCAGCTTTTCAACCTCGTCCCCAGGGCTTTTCCCTCAGGAAAAAGCCCTGGGGACGAGGTTGCCAGCTTTTGCTATTTGCGGGCGAAGATGGCAAAATAATGAGTATGAAAATAAAGTATAGTGTGTGTGATAAGTGACGAATTGGCGTTATGGAATCAACTCCTGGAGTATTGAAAAGTGGCGCGAGATTTACAACCAATAAAAATTAACCGCACAAGAGTACTAAAAATGAAATACCTTTTATTTTCCCTCTCAGCGTCTTCTAGCTTTTGTGTCAGCTCCTCCATCGCCCGTTCATTTTCGCGTTTTACATCTTCCAACTGAATCTCCAACTCACTTCTCTCTTGTTCAACCCTCACTTTGTCAGACTGCAATGATGTGAATTCCACTTCAAACGCAGCGGAGTTCTCCTTCTCGATCTTTAGCTCGTCCTCTACTCGTTGTAAACTTTCCTTTAGCTTGTTTATTTCCTTGTTTGCTTCTTCGCTATTCAGATTTGTTGTAAGTGAAGGCTGTTTTGCTTCTTGTGTCGTTGCAATATTGTGACTTAAAAGTCACGTTAACGAGTTTTATAACGAAAACTTACGTTCTCTATCCAGAAGAGTGGCCACACAATCCTTAAATCTGTTCAGGGCACGAAGAAGGAGCAGCGCTTCTCTGTGTATGTTTTGGACATCTTTCTTGTGATCATGTTCATATCTTCTTATCTCCGCCTGATGTCTTTGGTTTTCTTTAGCCATGTGATCTTTCAGACTTTGGAGTTCAGATTCATATTGCTGTTTCACTTTCGCCATCATCTGTCTCGCAGTTTGCGGCTCGAGGCCCAATTGAAGTGAGGTTTTCCTGCGTTCGCGCCGCGGTGCCCCCGCCATGCTCGCCACGCTCATTGTCGCAGGGGTGGGGGGAAAGGACATCATTCGTTCCTCGAGACATTGGATTTCCTCCATGAATTGACCTAGTCTCTCCTCTTGATACTTGATCATTTCTTCGTTGCATTCGATCTCACCTGTCAACCTGTTAAGTTTAAGAAAATAATAAAGACAAGCGTTGTCTTCCCTCAAAACTCTTGTTTTTTACGCCTTAAATGAAATGTACATCTGCTACTACAACTTATTGATGTTGAATTGATCGAAACTTATTCCAATTTTATGTTCTCATTTTCTTTTTCAAATTATTAAAAGGAAGTCAAGTGAATGTCCAAAAAATCGCATTAAAATCAGTCGATTTCTTCACTTTCAAAATTCGGCAGCCATTTTGAATTTTTAATTACGTCATTCGCTTCCACAATGGTGGCAAGCAAATAACGTCATAAACTGTTTCCAAAGAGAATATAAATGATCTTCTGTGACCAACTAGGAAAAAATTGGGCCTTAGACTTCATTGATAACAACGTAATGTCAGTTTGTTTAAAGCATCTAGCCGGAGGAAAATTCGATCATGTGACGGCTCATGTGACAGCTGGATATCGCTGCTTTAGAAACGAGAATAGTACTGGACCGTGTAAACTTTCGTAAAGACTTCTGGGACTGTTACTACAGACGTGGGAAAAATTGGCCAACAACTGACCGGCGCGTCCTCATTAACGATCCCAGAGGCAATTGCGGGACGCAATTCGGCTCCAATTCCCCTCCCGCCTCGTCCCCAGGGCTTTTCCCTCAGGGAAAAGCCCTGGGGACGAGGCTGCCAGCTTTTGCTATTTGAAAAATGATGAGTATGAAAATAAAGTATAGTGTGTGTGATAAGTGACGAATTGGCGTTATAGAATCAACTCCTAGTGTATTGAAAAGTGGCGTGAGATTTTCAACCGATAATGAACCGCGCAAAAGTAATATAAATGAAATACCTTTTGTTTTCCCTCTCACCGTCTTCTAGCTTTTGTGTCAGCTCCTCCATCGCTCGTTCATTTTCTCGTTTTACATCTTCCAACTGAATCTCCAACTCACTTCTCTCTTGTTCAACCCTCACTTTGTCAGACTGCAATGATGTGAATTCCACTTCAAACGCAGCGGACTTCTCCTTCTCGATCTTTAGCTCGTCCTCTACTCGTTGTAAACTTTCCTTTAGCTTGTTTATTTCCTTGTTTGCTTCTTCGCTATTCAGATTTGTTGTAAGTGAAGGCTGTTTTGCTTCTTGTGTCGTTGCATTTGATGCGTCGCTGGCGACGACAACTTGAACTTTGGACGATTTTGGTGTTTTTATGATGAATTTTTCTCCTGTCGGAGCAAGTTGTTGCGATGGCTTCTCCACGAGGCTAATTACGGACACGCTTTCTCCACTCTCTCTTAAACTTCCGATAGACTCACTACTGCTTTTGTATAAACCGTAAGATTCTTTTTTCTTGTATTCGTCTAGCTTTTCGTTAAGTTCATTTGTGATTTTTTGTTGTTCACTCTGCAAAAATAAACACAGGCTTTCATCATAAGACGAAAAAGTCAATAAAGTTGAAGCTCTATGTACAATTTGAGGTAGTCGGCCACCGGATGTTTGGCTTTATTTTAGTCATAAATTGCAAATATATCTTTAGGTATCTTGTTCACCTAGCTGGGTGTACTGGTGTTTGCCAGTTGGTAAACGACATTTATTTATTTAGCTTTATTTTTCCGCAGTCAAGCACGAACTCTTTTAAGTTTTAAAACTTACTCTTTTGAAACCTAGTCCCTAAAGGTTCTCTCTTACCCGGTTGTCCGCGAGAAATCTGAGAAAGGGTGGACGAGTCTGTCTCGGTGACGTCACACCTCACGATTGAGTCCAGGCTTGACAGAGCCGAGAAGGTCTTGGCACTAGGTTGACTTTTCAATAGACCTGCCTCGATGTTTTGCAAGGCTAACTTAGTGGGTAAATTTCTTATTTTATTTAAGCAAATTAACCAATCAGCTCACTTGTGTACTTTTAATTAATGACAAAAAAAACTGGAACCAATCAAGTGGAAGTGTTTGACGTCCATGTACCGACAATTTCCCGCCCTCAGCACGCGGCTGCCATGCATGGTACGGGTTTCTGGTTGGTTCTAAATTTTTTTTTTACGGCACAGGAAAGTGCCTAAGCTAAAAACTAAAATATCTTTCTAAAATTTGCTGACCAGTTTAGTCTGCAAGTCCTCACACTGGTATTGAAACTTCTCCGCCTTCACTTTAGTTTTCTTGTTATTTTTTCGCAGTTCTTCATTTTGCCTCCTTGCTTTCACGACCTCGCCTTCGAGATCAATAGCTTGGCTGTCGAGCTGAAAGTAAACGTAAAATAATAATTAATGGCCCTCTTTATTGTGGCGACAAACAATGTCGAGTTGAATGGATCGTCACGCGCAGGGAGTGACAACCCTAATCTCTCGAGCTTGCGTGACGATCAAAATGGTTGTGGCAAGTTTAGAGACTACTTCTACACACACCTCATGAATGACTTGATTTCTTTTTGCCGTCAACTGAGCCATCAGTAGAAACTGCTTTCTGGCGTGGTCGACGTTTAAGCGAATCTTGCGAACTGGAATAACTTTAGTTGCTTGCTCCAAGGTTTTAACGACATCTGCTTCCGCTTGGCTCCAATTATCCTCATTGTCTAGTTCCTCCACTACCAAATAAAGAAATTTCATTGCTATGTGACATATTCAGATTGCGCACCACAATCAGATTACGTCCCTAAAAGTTCTAAAACGCGCATGATCGACTTTAGTATATAAAAACTGATTTAATTTCAGTGATTTGCTAAAGTCTTTTGAAAGTGTAACATTTATAACGAATAGTGAAAGCCATGAACATAAACTAGGCATTGAATGAATTGTCCATAAATAGAAAAATCCACACATGAAATAGAGTGTTTTCACATGACGTCACGGCGGCCATATTGGCGTCCCAAACCATTCCTGTAGAAGTTGAACTCTTTTCTTATGCAAACGCTTTCTTTTGTTCAGACAAATTTGCATAGATGCTGGCCAAGTGGGTGAAAACGCTGTATAATCTTAGTATAGCAGAGATATGGTAGCACATGAAATCATTCGCTTACCATTATAAATTATCTTAGTGCGTGGCCCGCGAGGCTTGGCCTGCTGCCTCTCGGTGCCTTCGTCTGGAAGATCCTCTTCTAATTTACTCTCGCCAATCCCCAGAGAGTCAGCTATGACTTTTAACCGCACTAAAGCTTTGCCAAGACCATGCATTTCTGAGGCAATTCCCGAAGGGAGATCTTCCAAAAGGAGTTCAGGGCTGAACAGGTATATGCGCGCAGGGTTGCTTAGTTCCTCGTCAGCCGTTGATTCAATCCACGACTGCATTTGTCTCATAATGTCTTCTCTTTCAATACAAAGCTCAAGGTAAGATACTATTCCCTTAAGAACTCTCCGTCGTTTGGCGCGCTGTGAAGACAAAAAAGAGGCATATTGATAGTTTGGCAAATTTGATAATTCATATCGATATTTATTTTTTATTGGCTATTTTGAGGTTGAGATAGCCTGATCTGGGCTTTCAGATAATTCAGCGTGCCGCGAAGTAGGAGATAGCAGGAAAAAAATAAGGAGGAAGAAAGGGAGAGGGGGAACGGAGGGAATGCATTCCTTAGCTCTCACCTCCCCAACCCCACCCCCCACTGTTTTTCCTGCTCACTGCTCTTTGCGCCGTCCCCACTATGTGAACACCTGAAACAGGCTAAGGCTGAGAGTTGAAATGGGCGGTTTTGTGTCGAATTGCACCATGGGAGTGCTTTGGGGACGCTACGATTTCTCTTATTGGACATTACGAGGGTCAAACTTCGTGCCCCAAAACAGTCCCATGGTGCAATTCGACACAACACGCGCCATCTCGAAATGGCCAATATCTATTGTATGTAAGATGAACTCAAGTTTGCTGGTGGCTAGATTGATCCCAGATCCCGTCACTCGTTATCAAAGCAAGACTCATTTGTGACGTTGTTTTAGCATAGATGTCGTTAAAGAAAAACACTTTCATTGTTCTCTCTAGAATTATTTTCTCAACACGTTTGCATTTTACTCACACATTGAGACCATGCAAAAGTTTATTTTACAAGGGAGGTTTTAACGGTGACGTCACAGCTCACAGTAGGTTCCAGGCTTGACCGAGCCGGGAACGCCTTACAACTTTGTTGCTGTATATCCTTAAATATCTTAAATTCTTCTTTAAATGTCTGAAATGAAATTTTGAGTTTTGTGGATTGATCGTGATAAAAAAGGAAGGAAGAGAAAGAAAGAGAAAGAAAAACTGGACTTTTCATGTTAATGAACTTCCTTTCTTCGATCAAGGCGGAACAACAGCATCTTTCCCAAGTGCTCTTCTATTTTACTGGTCCTCAGGTAAAGCAGCTGCTATTATATTATTGTGAATGGGGTATTATTTTTGTTGTTTTGCAAGCTAACCGCAAAAGAAATGCGTCAACGCCCCTTTTTTATAACTAATTCAAGAGCTCCATACAGGCTCCATATATGACATGTGCAGTAAAGTTACAGACATTTTGAGCGGAATTTTGTTTCTTTTTTAAACACGTTTGCACTATAAAGATGTAAACTTTATACAACAAGGAAACCTCTTTGATAATAGAAACTGCTCTTTAATTTGGTAACCAGATTAAAGAAGTTATGCACCAAGGTTTTTATAATTATTATGCGCATAAATCAGTATGCACCGGTGATTTTGTTTTGTTCATTAACACATGTGTTGAGCCAAATAAATATTTTTTTTATTTTGTTCAGTCGGCAAGTTGTTGCTACTGCGGGCTTAAATTCATTTTGTCAAAAACGACTGACACAGCTACGGCGGTCCACGGTGAAAAAAGCGAAAAGGAATAGACGTGGAGATTATTCTTGCACCTCTGGCTTCGACTGCTTCGCCATGGATGTCGTTAAGTTTTTGTTGCCCACCTCAGCCAGCACTTTAATCGGGCTTTTCTTTAACGTTAAAATGATTCTCAGCTGCTTTAGGAAGAAAACGAGCCCACAGCCACAAAAATACAGCGCCGTTGTCGCTTTGCAGTTTGTGTATCATGTAGCAATTCTGACTATGAACACTGTTGAAGTGTGGCAAGGATTCGAAGAGAAACCCGAAAATTTCTGCAACGTCTTCAAAGCACTGATGATTTCCGTGAATGTCTTGCAGCTTTTCAACATAATAGCGGTGTGTTTTATTTGGTGCTCGCCCGATGCCGTTGCCGACCGACAGTTTTTTCACTTCGCTGTGACCGCATCTTCTACGGCTTTGGGACTTCTTGCGTGTATACTTTGCGTGTGGTTTACCTGCTCGAATTTTTTAGACTTCCTCTACCGAGCTTCCATCGCTGGACTGTTGTTGAGCATTTTAGCAACTTTTTTACTTTGTGCAACAACACTAATATTCCCGTGGTGTTCTCAGAAAAGTTTTGTTCCGGAATCACCTCAAGAGAAAATGTTTTTCGCAGAAAACAAGAAGACCGCAATTTTCTGCGCAATAATGTTCTTATGCTTTGGAGTGCCGTTGGCTTTCTACGTCAGGCCTGACCTTATCTCCGACCCAAGACTAACCAAGTTTATCTGCCTCCTTACCATGAATCTTATAGTTGGAATTATTATGCCTGTAACCTTCAGTGCTCTAACGACCGAATTTAGTTACACAGAGACACATGAAATGACAGTAAAGGTTTGAGTATTGTTCAAGTTGTGGACTAAACCATGCATGTCGGCAATGGACATGACTCACGCTGAAAATTCAATTCGCATGCTTTCAACTTTATCGCGATTACAGCTCACTACGCACAATTTGTCATGCAGTTAAATTCTTAGCCTGGACCGCGCCCAAGCACAGAGACGTAAGACCTGCTTGTCGTAAAGTTTTCGCGTCTAACGCCGCGTGAGAGAATTTCTTGTCTTTGTTAAGTAGAGGATCGCAAGAAGAGAAATGTACAAAAAAGTTACCAGTTCAGTTTTTACTTTCTCGCTCATTGCTATCGCCGTCCACGTCGTCTATTCCACTTCAACTTCAGCAAACACTGAGTTTCCGTTTTATTGGCAATCTTTTTGTGTAGGAATGGTTCGCTGAAGCTCTCGATTATACTCTAGCTTGTGGGCTCACAAGTTGCGTCTGTAGCCATTAAATAGTCATTCAGGCGTAGAACCCATAGCTTAATTCAGAGTCGATATAGCAACTTAGAAAGTGGAGATTACTTCGGGATTGACAGTGTTTTATGTTAAGTAAGCTGCCCTTAAAAGTGTTAATGAAAAATCAGTGGTCGTTGTTTAATTCTGTGTAGGTGGACATAAGTTTTGAAGCTGTTACGGGAGTCGTGTTTACCTTTTATCGCAAATTTAAGTGCTGCTCCTCTACATTGAAAATGTTTGATCAGCAGGCTTAACTCTTGAAGACTCCAGCAATACGCGAAAAATCATAAGCTTGTATGCTGCATAATTTTTCGACTTTTGTACTGGAGACAAAGAAGATGAATAAAATGAAAAAATTAGAGAGATAAAAGTATGATTTATCGTGTTTTACTATTTAGAGTCACTAACATTCACTGTATCGAGATAATACAATTCTAACATTGTATCTGTTTGCTTGAAGATCACTAAACTAATAAGTTATATTGACGATGGATAATGATGTACAATCATGGTTTATTTGTTTAACTTTTTTTCAGTATGAAAAACTTTCAAATTTGGAAACCTTAGGTCGTCTTTATATTTCTGCTTCCAAAGGTGTATTGAAAAAGGAGAAAGAATGGAAAAGTTGTACTTTAACAAGAATATTTTTACTCTCTACTTGAAACTGCTCATCAAGATCGAAAATGCAAATCAGTCATGTAAGTTGTTCGACAACAATGCTGCAGTTGAAATTGATTGTGAATTCTCGCTGTTACAATATTTATTTACAGCTCTTCGTGACTTTACAGAAAGTTCAAGATGTAACTAGAAAGACGCAAAATCTTCTTTATTTATTCTTTTTTTTGAAAAGTACCTAATTATAGTAGGACAAAGCTGTGTTTGACGATATTTGGTTAACCATGCATGAGTAGATTTGGTAAGCCGGCCTTTTTGTATCGCCTACGCTTAACATGACTGGTGATACATTGAATCGCACAAATGTATCCTTGTCGGGATACCTCCTCATTCCGCCTATACGAGCATGTGGCCCTTTGCCGGTCCTAGAGGGGGGACTCAATACGTTTTATACGGGGAAGCTCCGCCCCGAGGTCCAACCCGTCACCCTTTTTATGTATCATTTTTCACAGAAAAGGTACCCTTTAAAATAGCCTCTGATCTATTGCCAAATGGTACCCCTTTCACATACCCCGACTCTAGAACTTTGTTTTCTCGACTAATTCACAGCCATGAGATACGTCTATCAGCGCTTTGGCCTTTTTTACAGCGCAAAATGACAGATTTCTCTATCCTTTTATATACTTCAGCTAGTGAAATCCCTACTCTTTCATTTACTTAAAGCCTTAAAAAGGTACCCCTTTCGGGCGTACCCTCCCCGCACAGGCCATCCTAGGGATTAACTCCTCCCGGCTAAATAGGTATATTATTTCCATGCCAAACAGAATGAAGGCTTAAGTTCGTGAAAAAGAAGCAACTTGAAGAAAAAAATTTAATTTAGTTTCGGTGAGCTATATCCTACTTTGACTTTAGCCGTGACGGAATCACAACGATCCGGGACCTCCTCCCCGCCATACCTTCCCCCGGATCCGCTAAAAAATCACAGACAAAACAGGAGGGCAAAATTGCATGGGCTAGGCCCTTTGTTAAAGGATGATTTATGGTACAAGATCTGCTACCCTTACGATAAGTTGACAGGGAGTTAAACCAGAGACGTTTTTGAGCGCCGCACGTCGACCGGAAATGAGTCTTTTTCTCCTTTAATATGCCTTGACGTTACCAAATTTGTTTTGCGAAGTGTTTTTACTCTTTAAAAGACTCAAATATTTTTTCAAAATCAGGGCTCAAGAGTGCAAACATTCCACTTCCTGTTGACTTGCTTTGCTCAAAAACTCCCTAACACGGCGACTGCACTCTCTTAACCCAATTCATCATTTTCTCTTGCTTTGCTTACCCTTACTAACATCTTCTTTGATACTTTTCGCTTGGCTTGTCCAGGCATCGTCTGTCCGTTTGAGTCTTCGTCATTTTTACCATCATCATCTTCGTCGTCCTCGTCGTCGTCGTCGTCGTCCTCGTCGTCGTCGTCGTCGTCCTCGTCCTCGTCGTCCTCGTCGTCCTCGTCCTCATATTCGTCGCTGGACCCTCCCGAGTCTTCCTCTGAATCTGATAATACTTCAGCATCATATCATCATCATCATCATATCACAATTACAATAGGGCCATTTATACGAGGAAAAATAAGACGCGTCTTAAATAAGACGCTAACTGTACCATTTATACGAGCATGTCTTATCTAAGACAAGAACAGCTCGTATAAATGGTTTGCGTCTCATTTCTGTTCTTGTCTCGTTTTCATGTGAATATTGCCCGCAGCAACGGCAATATAACGTGGCGCGCCAAAAATTTACGCATGCGTATTATGCGTTCGCGTCTTATGTAAGACGCGAGGGCCATTTATACGTAGTTTTTCTCGTCTTAGCTAAGACGCGTCTTATCTAAGAATAGGTGTTAAGGGCTGTTCTAAAATAAGACGCGTCTTATTTTAGACGAAATGTGCCGTTTATACGGAAAGTTCGCGTCTTATTTAAGACGCGTCTTTTTATGTGATGATCATAAGTTTATTTTTCAAGATCAAGTATTTACAAAGATGAATAATCTACGGGAGGTCCCGCGTATAGCTATCGCGCAGTTAGTTTTTAGATCATTGTTGAGATAGAGGTATTCCGTAAGAAAATTGTCTTCAGACTTTGTATGGACAAAAGTCTCTGCGTCCGAGCGGTCCCGTCACGTGACGCACAAGCAACACTTTGACTTGATAAGACGTCACGATCCTTTCAGTAACTTTCCAACAACAAATGTATATTTACGTTTAAAAATTATTAGAATCAAAAACGGAAAAAAGGATATACAAACCTTCTTTTTCTTCATGCTCCTCCATTTCCTCCACCTGTTGTGACTCGTGTCTCTTTTTCCTCCGCGCTATTCTTTTCCTTTTCTCCATTTTTCGATCTTGTTCTTTTCTTTCCTCTTCTTCCGCTTCGTACTCTGGACAAGGGCTCTCTGATACTTCCAGCTCAGCCTCGGCAGTGTGGAACTCATCCATGGTCAGCCTTACTCTTTCCAACACTGAATTCAGCTCTTCCACCAATCTGTCGCGTTGGCGTTTCATCTGCGCTTTCTGAATCGCTGTTAATCTCATTTGTCCTGCGGCTGGGAGAAAGCCACTTTCGAAGTCGGTTCCAAATCCTAGCATTGCCGATAAACCAATCCCGGTGAAGGCGGCATAGTGATCTTAAATTTGAAAGGTGGTCTGATTAAACTGCATAAAATGTTCTACGACAGACATAGGATAAAGACTTGTTGCACGCAGTGAAAAAAAAATTATCGGATGCAAAGCTGTAACCGAGCCTCCCCCCTTCGGAAAGCGTGTTTAAAAGAGAAAGAGTACAACAACAATAAATAATAAACAAACAAAATAAATAATGGATAAGATGCCGTTTAGCAGGTAAAACACGGAAATTTGGTATTATCGACTTGGTTAATAAACTGAATTGCCACTGTAATAGGTTGTAAGGAGTCTTTTAAAGATCTTTGAGCGCCAGCACTTTGATCAAGAGTGATTCGAGGGATTGCATGGGTAGTACATCTTATGTACTTGCAGTACCCAGAAAACAAAAATAAATCACAATCCTGTATGTTTCTGTTAGTATTAAAATGTTACAAAGTGCTGTTCAAACGGATTATCTCTAAAGCACTTGTAAAGCAATTTTTACCACTGTTTATAATCTTCCATCAAGCAACATATTTCGATTGCTTTCTTCCCTCCGTCGTGCTAATCGTTTTGCCTGAGTTGTCGTATCTTTTTCCTTTTTTCACTACGCCTAGGGGTTTACATTTTTTGAATACGGAAAGATTATAAAGCAGGCCCGTAGCAAGCTTTTACAAACTAGGGGGAAAAAAAGATGAAAAAGAAAAGGGAATCCGGGATCAGGACCTCCCATTCAGACCCCGTGTTTCCGGTAAATACAATGAAATTACATCATTTCTCTACCTGCTAAAAATGACCCCTTTTCATCTGGAACTGGTACTGGTGTTCCTCGAACCGCTTCTACAAAGGCCTCAGGGTAACGATCAAATATGGAGCTCCGTTTTGCTAATTCTTCCGAATCTTCTTCAGAGTTTTGCAACTGTTTTTTCCTGGTTAGAAAAAAAGAGAATCAAATGTAGTGAATGAATGAATGAATGATTTATTTAATGTCGAAGACGTGGGAAGTGTTTACACAATCTTCCGAGCCAGAGGTTCATGTTAAAAACGCTCGACAAACTAAAAAATACAAAACAGGATAAAAAGTGAATTATGTATATACAAATATTAAGAAAAACCTAAAAACATCGTAATTTTGGGAAAGAAAATTAGATCTCTTTATCACTAAATCAAGACAAGAGCTGGGTGCCCCTCTTCTAAATTTGACTGCATGGTGCCCTTAAAATAAGAGACGAAATAGACCTGTCCACATTTTTTTTTCAACTTTTGTTAAAGAGCAGGATGCAAGTGAATATCCAACGACACTGCTGGAAAGATAGCCTGTGTACAGACCCCCCTCTCCTCAGGAAAAATCCTGAGGGGAGGGAGGTCTTTACACAGGCTACTGAAAAGGGGGCTTCAAAATAAATTAAAGCAGCAAGTCTAAAGGTGATACGTCCAAAGAGAGCGGAGATATTGCTCCACCAAGTCACAAAATTTTACCAACGTTTATATACTTGCCCCCCACCACACAAACGTCTGTAAAATTCTGCGTCTTTGCCGAGCTAAATCTTCGTTAGTTTTCAACAAATCACTTTCAAACTCGGCAGCTTTACTGATTTTAAGGCGTTCTTTCCATTCATGTTGACGAATTTTCGCTGTCTAGTCCCAGTAAAAAGTTAAAAAAAATACGGAGAATGATCTATTCAAAGAGAGACGTATTTGAGTCTTCCGGAACACAGAGGCTAAAGTGTAAAGAGAAACTCGCCTATCAAATAAAAAAGAAAATCACACGCATGCCGCATGGGTAGTTGTTACCTTAATGGTTTTATGATCTTCTCCTCGGCTAGATTTTTCTTTTTATCTGTCATTTCTGCTTTAAGAGGATTTCAATTTACCCTTACAAAGTTGTCCTTGTAAAACATGGGCAAAAGGCAGTGAAAAGATAGATGACGTCATAATAGTGTCCTTTACATCTTTAGGCTTGCACGCGCATGAAAGTTTTTTCGAATAAGTTTGTATAATAATTTAATTGGCGTTCTACAGTCCTTGGTGTTATTCAAGGCAGTGTGTGCTTAAACAATTTTTTATTCGATTCTGTGATTATGATTTCATTATCGTCGACAACAACTCAAATTGCATTCTGAATCCAATTTCAGGCTTACATGACGCACTACCCGAATTTAGGTTTATGAGGGGGCGGATCGGCGGATCTGGTTTCCGTTTGTACACATGCTCTATATGGCAAATCTCTTTAGATTGAGGGCCTCTTCATATGAGCCCGGTTGACCGGGCTGGCCCGGTTTCCGAGATCTCGCCTCACCTCTAAATCCTTTGTAAAATTTTCGATGTGTTCATATGAGAGGGCGGGCTGGCTCGGTTTTTCCAACCGAGATCTCGGTAAGCGGGCTGGAAATTTTGCCATATGAACACTTCATCCCTGTTACCGGGATGAACGGCGGGATGAATTCTGGCGGTCCGGATGGCATCGTCTTGCATTGCCTGCTGTATTTTCCACATCATAAGCATCCCATTTAACTGCAGTGATACAGCTTTAAGAGTTACCGATGCTAAGATAGGCCCAAAAGTTAAAATTTTTGTGTTTCGCTATGTTTGCTTTGTTTCCTAAATTTGGCGCCAGAACTCGTACCCAGGATCTTTGACCTTTTCTCATCTCGGAAACCGGGCTGAAATTTCTCATATGAACCCAAAGCAAAATTCATCCCGGTAACCGAGCCAGCCCGGTCAACCGGGCTCATATGAAGAGGCCCTGAGGCTGCAATAGAAGCCCTAGTAGGCTCGGTTTCCAGCCGTAGGTGTCTCGATGCGTGCTTAATTCTCTCCACCTTAGTGGTAACCTGCGATCAGGCGTCTTTTTTTTTTTTTTTT